TCACACTTCTCAACTGATCTATCGCCACTGATGGTCCCATTTACCCTCCATCTTCAAAAAAGACAGTTTTAAAGTTCCATAATTCATATAAATTTACTATAAATTTCTGAGCTTTGCTGAGAAATTGACAGTTTCTGTCAACAGAAATTACAAAACTGAAAACACAAACATTAAATTTTTAGTAACAGCTTAATGCAGTGACTGAAACTGAAAACTTTATCATTAAATGTCTGTGAAGGTTCTCAGTCATCCAGGTCATCGTAGTCAAAGGAGCTTGCAAAGAAAAGCATCTGGACTTCTTTAAGTTACTTGAAGATGTTTCACCTCATCTGAGAAGCTTCTTCATTAAAAGTTAAATGTTTATCATTAAACATCATCACATCTAAAAGTACCAGAGTATTCAAATGTACAAATTTGCTCTGTATTGTAAATTGACTTGTGTAGTGGTGATGTGCATGCTTTAGTGTGTGTGTTATTTATGGGTTTGAGAAACACTGATGCGTGAGTTTGAGTGGGAGGTGTCTGTGTTCAGCAAGGATGCCCTGAGGAGAAAAACAGTTCCTGAGTGTGTTGGTGCTGATTTGGATAGACTGCAGTGCCTCCTAGAGGGCAGTAGGTCAAACAGGTGAGATGTAGAATGGCTGAAGTCTTTTGTAACAACAGTCAATGATCTGCTGCATTGTGTTGACCACTCTTTGGAGCCTCTTATGCAGTATGTAAGTATCCTCTCAATGGCTGAGCAGTGGAGGTTCACCAGTACAGTTGGGAACTGAAGAAAATGTAGTGATTTGGATTCCATTAATGATATCACTGAGTGATTGAATTCCTTATCAATTCTCACTGGCTCTGCTTTGAGAGTCACCGCCATCGCTAAACAGCATATCAAAGACATTACAGTAGTGCTTATGAATTGCATCCTCCATGGTAAAATGTTTGTGCATGTTGGAGGTATGTCTCCTCTTTCCTGTGATCACTTTGGGGTTGTTACTCAAGAAATGTCATTATTACACATATTACAAAGATGACTTTTCATAAAAGTAATATAGTACACTACTTATTTCTCTCAGGAGAAAATTTTCTACCAGAAATTAAACATGTCCCATTTAACCATACACACTTCAGGCTACAGTCCCACTCGCCAATTTAAATCCCTATCCTGAGGTTCTCATCATCCTCTATGTGCACAGCCTAGATACAGCAAACTATGATCTCTTGTATCCTCCCTGCTGAACTTTGTTTTTAGTCACTGAGTTGATGTGAACAGTAAAGGCTTCTAGATCTTGGGTTTTGATTTTGATCCATGTGTAATCCAAGTATCTGTACTTGTGGCTGGGTGCTTTCCCTTTGAAAGTGCCAAGAGCTTTACTTTCCACTTCCTCCATGTAGAGGTGGGCTGCAATGGGTGACACTGATGAGCCCATGGCACATTCATGTTTTTGTCTATAGAAACCCTCGTTGTATAGAGTTGGTTCTGTTTTGTAAGTATCTAAAGGGACAAGCCCCACTAGGGTTTAACTACCTGGGACTTTTTATCTGGTTTTGAAGCTGAAGAAGATAAGAGGTGAAACACCTTCATGAAACTGAAAGAAATCCAGTTGGTTTCTTTCCTTAGTTTAAGTTAGGGCTGTGGCTACCTTTACTGTGTGATGTGCAAACCATGTATGTGCGGTCAGTGCCTTTTAAATCATTTTTCATTAAGTTATCTGACAAATAATATGGTTTTATTTATACTCAGAGGTTGTGCTTTAGTTTTGGTGAGTGAAATTCTAGTATTTCTTAGTCTATTGACACTGATCTGAGCTACTTGTCACGGCTGGGGCGGCAGTCGTGTGGAGGGTGAGAAAGGAGGATCCAATAGCAGACAATGGCGGAGGTGCAAGTGGGTTTTATTTACAGTGCACAAAACCAAGGTGTGGGCAGAACCGAACATAAACCTAAACTGGGAAAACTAATACAAAATGGAGGACATGGAGCAAGGAGCAGAGAGACACAAAGAAACATGGAATAATGTAGACTACACGGGAGATTCACAGAGAAACACAGACGACGCGACGAGAAGCACAGGCAGACACCAACTATAAATACACACACCAGGTAATCAGGAAATGGCACACAGGAGGGGACACAGCTGGAACTAATGGGCATAACGAGACAGACCTACAAAGTAAAACAGGAAACACCCAGACTGTTTTACAACACAAAACTCGGGGACCCGTACAGAGCACAGAGGGAGACACAGGTAGGGAAAATAAACATGACAACCAAACCCCAACAACCAATACAAAATCAGAATAACTAGAAAATAATAATCACAAACTCAAAGCGCTGGGTCACTGACCCAGGACCATGACACTAGTGATAGGAGACTGTCTCACCCCAACATCGTCAGACTCATGGCAGTTGCCCGCACCGAGTCCTGCTTTTTGTTCGCAGCTGAATACATTCATGGCGCAACCCTGCAGCAAGTGCTTCACACAGACACCTGCTACTCTAATAGTCTGTGTTATTGAAGGATTCAGCACTTCTTATGGGTTTTGTTTGTTTTTTTTATCCATTTTTAGACAGCGATGAGATCAGCTACACACTCCAGAAGCCCAGAGTTACTGTTAATATCAAAAATATAATGCTGTCCTTTGAGATTTTAACATTTGCCCTTCATGTGTTTCATGTCTGCTGCCGTTTTTAAAGTTTCCATGTTACCAGGCTGTAAAGATTTAAACAGTTTTAGATCCATTACACTCAGTCTTAAATGTTAAAATCTCAAAGATAAAAAAAAAAAAACAAAAAACAAAAAAAACCCTGCTGCCAACAAAAAGCAGGACTCAGTGCGGGCAACTGCCATGAGTCTGA